GGGAAAAGCGCTTTTCACTCCCCGCTCCACGTCATCTGAGCCCGGACAGAACCGGAGCTGCTCCTGCTGGTTCGGGACTCTGGTTTGGATCTAGTCCGACTGTATTTCTCACATTAGGCTAAAAGCAGGACATTTTTAAAGGTGAATCAATTGAATGGGCGATTGCCTATTGCCATAAAATCATTTGGTTAATTAAAGCGTAAAATAACAAATGCTGGTTCCTACATGATCACGGGGAACACGGGGACCTCAGGTCCAGAACAGAAGTACACTCCCCCATTTTTGACTCACTCTGGAGCCACACGTTCGCACGTTCTTGCTCTGATCTTCGTGTATTACATTCTCTGTATTGGCCATTGTTGGTAAAATATTTCGAAAATGAATCGCGGCTGCGTCTGGACAACAATCTGTTACTGCGCTGGAGTCGTACAGCGCGTCATTACAGGCAGGAGACGCGTTTCTCCCATGATGCATCTAGAATAGTTCCTTTGGACCTGCTGTGTATGGTTTGGACCCGGGTTCGCGTTCACACCAGAAGAACACACGCACCAAATGACCAACTTTGGTGCGGATTCAAGCGAACCGAGACCACCTCTTTTTTTAGGTCTCGGTCCACTTGAGTTGGTCCGGGTCAGAGTCCGATTGACGCTTTCACACTAACGCAAACGACCTGAGCTAACCACTTCTGGTTCGAATGGATCGTTTGGTGCGCACCAGATATTGTCGGTGTGAAAGCACCTAATACAGGTCAAGGCTCACTGATGAGCATCTTCAATCTATCCTGAGGATCTCATACGCTTCCTCCTGCAAGCCAAACATCTCTCAGCTGTACAAGATGAATCGTTGCCAGGTTTCAACCAGCAATAAGTAGGCAAAAGAAGAAGAGTAGACGTATCAGTTTAAACTTACGTTCTGAATACATTTTCATGTTCTGAACTGTTATTAAAGATTAAGAAAGTGTGTTGCGTGTTGTTCTGTCTCTCTCCTTTTTTCCCGTGCAGCCGCTATTTATCGAATACTCAATGCGGCCCAGCCTCACTCAGACTTTATCTAATGTGGCCCCCAGGTAATTTGAGTTTGAGACCCCTGATGTAAAGAGTCTAAGCTTTATAAAGAGGGATAACATGCCCACGTGAAATATCGGCCCATATCAGCAAGCATATCGGCCGATAGCCGATATGTCTCCAGGTGCCCATATCGGCCAGCCGATATATCGGTCGGGCTCTATTCTCTACACCTAGCCCGATCGTTTATCCAGTACCATTCAAGTCCCGTGTGATCTGTACACCATCCGGGTAACTAAAGCTCTGTTACCCTTGGCTCAGCTATCCCGCGCTGGCACATCCTGTCTTTTCAGGTGCTGCTATCTAACTATACTACAACTAATGTTAGTAATACTAAACAATTAGTTGAAATACTAATAGGGCTAACTAGATAGCATTTGGGACACTACACTTTGTTACAACTACAGAAGCTACTATGGTTAGTAACACTACATAGTCGACACTGAACCCCATTCTCAGTTCCACAGCAATGATGTCGCCAGTGTGCCCTGATTGTGCATTGACATCACTCTAATAAATATGTTGTAGAAAGTAAAGAGAATTGTTCTGTGTAACTGCATTAAAAAAAACATTATACATCAATTTCACACAAAGAAAATACCACATAAGATATTGCATATATCATAATTTCCCTATTAAAATGATACAATTATCAAACAATATATTTGTTTTCATGGTTATTTTTAATTTTATATATTAACCACAATCCTTGTGAATTTTATGTGCATTATATGCACATCTGTAACAAAATTAAATATGCAAGTATAAATCAAATTAAAGCTGCGACCGCCGGGGACTCGCGACCGCCCTGGCGTCCCACTCTCTTCCCGACAGTCGCCCAGACCGACAGCTCATCCACCAGAAAACGTTACATAGTGTACCTTTAAAAATGATTAATGTGAACGATTCTAGAGGCAAAAGTGTAAAAACTAGGGTGTAGGTCTCATTGACTTTTATGATCAGGTGCACGTCAATGAATGTTCTGCAAAGTTTCACAAATGAATGTGAAATTAATTTTATTTTTAAATTTTGTGCATTCCTATAGGTGGAACTGTAAACACTGATAATTGTGTTTGACATATCAATGGACTCAGGGTCATGCAGTGTATAACTGATAGAAATTTCAGCACGATCAGACTAAACATCTGTGTATAATAATTTTTACAACATTTTTGGGGGGATTCTTTGTGCCCCTGCTGGACAACTGTGAAAAATGCCCCATGTCCGTAATAGACTTTTTTGCTTGTAATCGTGTAGTATTTAATCCCCAAATTTGGTCCAAATCCAATATTGTTGATGTTTCATATCTATGGTAGGGGGCGCTATAGAGTTCACTTTTCATATGGTTGATAGTGTATTATATTCAGGCCAAAATCTCGCATTAGTGATTCAAATTTCAGCACAACTGGACTAAGCATGTCCCTGTAATAATTTTTTTAATATTTTTGGGGGGATTCTTTGCGCCCCTGCTGGCCAACCGTGAAAAATGCATCATGTCCATAATAGACCTTTTTTTTTTGCTTCTAATCATGTGTAGAATTTAATCCCCAAATTTGGTCCGAATCCGATATTGTTGACCTTTCACATCTATGCTAGGGGGCGCTATAGTGCTCACTTTTCATATGCTTTATATTGTATTATAATCAGACCAAAGTCACACATTAGTGATTCAAATTTCAGCAGGATCAGACTAATTTTATGGCAATATTCTTAAAAGATATTGTGAAATAATACTTAAATACTATTAAATAATAGCAGACATGGTATTGATATGGGACTGTTTGACTTTTCCCATTGTGCAGTAGTACTAAGATTTACTTAGACATTCCTCACATGACTGTACTGTCATGAAGGGGGTCTAAAGTGTCATTGATATAAAGAGTTGTCTTACATTTAGTTCAGCAGGTCTCACATGAGCGTGTAGCTTTAACGAGTTTGAGGCACCATCTACTTTACTCTGGGACATTAAATAAGAGGACAGTGTGGTCTACTGTTGACTGGGATTAAAGATGAGATAAAGAAAGTTATCTAAAGAACAAAGTGTGATCTATTCTAGACTGGGATTGAAAAATAAGTGATCTAAAACTAGTTGTAAAGTTGTGTTGAAATGAAAGTTGAGTGTAAATGAATTAACTGAGCCTGTTATCTGTGATAAGTGTGATTGATGTTGGTCACTACGTGGTCCAGGAGTCCAGGGATTTGGAGGTCTGGTGTCCTCAGAGTCAGATGTAACAGTAACAGTAACTCCAGGCTCAAGCAGCGTCAAGCTGAACCAAAGCTGTATCCTCTCTGTACAGATGAGGTCAAGACACGTTTCTTTAATCAAAAAAGTTGTTGACTACAAATATGCAAATACTTAAATTTGGAAAAATATAAAAGTTTTACTTTTGGTCAGCTACAGTCATTTGTTTATTAAAAAACTGAATCCCACTTTCAACAAGCCTGTGTTTGAATGTTCAAATGAGCATCCATAAATGAATGTTAAGTCTGTGTCTTCCTGGAGCAGTCCTTCTCAGGTGATGCCTCACTTAGTTTCAGGGGTCAATCTAGAGCCTCTCTTTGTCAGTTTCAGAGGTCTCTTTCAATCTTTGTTTCTTTTTTCTTTTTTTTTTTTTTTTTTTTTTTTTTTTTTTTTACAGCCCATGACTAGGTTCTGGGTTAACGTCCTGCACTGGTTGGATCAAGGTCGACAAGGGATTCTTGGAGTTGAAGCAAATGCCCTCAAAATGATGAAAAGATCCGGCTTAACCTGTAAGCAGACTGGGTTTTTAAGAGCGGCCTGAGTGTGTTTGTGCGCACTGCCTACGCCTCTGACCACATAAAGGAGATCCAGGAGTTTGTGGCTGAAGGAGGAGGTCTGCTGATCGGTGGACATGCCTGGTACTGGGCCCAGACACACCCAGGGCAAAACTGCCTCACTGAGTTTTCAGGTACATCAGTTTTTAGTTTGTTGTTTCTCTACAATTGTTTCAGTTAAATATATTTAAGTCTTTGCATTTGAGATCTGACATTTTTATTTAGTATTTCAAAAATCAAAAACCGGGGCATTTGGTAAACAAAGGTGGAGCTGTTTCAAGGTATAAGTCCTCTCTTATTGCAGGGCTAGTCTAGGTGCGGACCACCACAAATGACAGATCACACCAACACATATTTTTGAAATATATTTTTTCAATATTCAAATTCTAAATAAAGTCTGAGCCTCAGGTGCTCATCCTGAGGTGGAGCACTGGGTCTACACCCAGCTCCTCCCAAATGTCTATTAACCTCCAGCCCGGTTTATACTCAGAGGGTCTTTATCCATCATGTCTACAAGAGGAAGTGCAGCTGTGATTTTATATTTGTGTAATGTGTTTTAGGAAACATTCTCTTAAACCAAATGGGCTTGACTCTGTTGTCTGGAACTATTGAAGAAGGTCTTTACAGCGCTCCAGATCCAAGTGTGTCTATCACAGAGACATACCACTTCCTCCACCTTCTGCACCGTTTCACTGCTTCTGTGTCTGGAGACAAAAAGCTGACTCAACACAGGAGAAGTATCTTTCCAACACTGGGAGACAACTGTGCCAGTTTCCTTCATATGGAAAAACTTTCAACAGCTACTCGTACCAGCAGATAGTGAGCATCCTCACAGATATCCTCAAGACTGGATTGCCTCAGGTACACAGAGTTAATGCAAATGAATACATGTGACATATTTGAAATGAGCATGTTATGCTGAATCAGCTTTTAACCTTGTTATAACAGTTCCCTCATCATTAAATGATTAAAAGTTCTATTTAATTTGTGCATGTTTGAGTAATCCTGTACTGTCTCACTTTGGAGGCTTTAGTGATCAGAAAATTCCTGTTTCACCTACCCCCTGTCTTGTATTTTACCGTGCTACTTATGTTATAGTTCCATACTGAGCGTAATGTTTTCTTTAAACCATTCATATATTTTATCATTCATAGGTATCTAGAAGTTGTCCTGCAAAGAGTGCCAAAGAACACTTCCTCCTAAATATTGCATGTGAAGTGTATAAAGTTTGTTGCAATCAGGAGGAAACTTCTCCGTTATCTAATCAAGGACAACCCAGTGCTGCCGACTGTTGGAGATCAACGAATCAGCATCAGTGTCAACACAGGAGGTCAGGACTTTTGAAAAATATTCATCAAGAAATAGTTTGCTAATAGTTTTGTTAAAATGCTGCATTTTGGTAGGTGGTGCGGAGTGGCTCAGTACCGGCCTGTATCTTTCTCCTGGGATGAAGACTTATATATCCGTACCAACTGATATTGTGGCACAGGGAAGATGGCAGGTAGAGACTAAACAGCAGGGAGGAGTTCATGCAAAGAATTGTTTGTTTGTTTGTGTTGTTTGTTTGTGTTGTTGTTTGTTGTATTATATATGTTGTTTTAGTATTGTATTGCTTTATACTGATATTCCTAGGTGCAGATCAGTTGCCATACAGACTTCCTCAGACACCAGGACTTAAAGAGGGCCCCATGTGTCTTTGAGAGATTCCCAGTCACTTCTGAGAAGATGCTGGTGCACAACCTTTGGGGCGGGCTCATTTACCTGATAGCTCCTCCTAGAACTCAGGTGACAGGAGCAGAGGTCATAGTTCATAAAGCTGTGTCTGCTCCATATTATAAATCAGGTGAGTCTTTATGAACTATCATCTTTTTTTGCCCCACACCGGGAACATTTCAGTGTTGCAACCCAAAGTTCAAGAACAATCAATATCAAGATAATTAAGTATTAACAGAGCACAATAGACAAAGTATAACGCATCACTCTGTTAATAGAGGAAAGCCACAAGCTACAAAACTATTATGTCCAACTATTATGTCCAACAAGTGCATATGACTGTACTTTTCAACAGTGCAGCATATGGACAGAATAAATTAACAGCAGGTAAAGTGACTTCACAGAACTGTACCAGTGATATGATGTGATGTGATATGCTGCTAAAAGATAAAGAAAAGACTTCCACCCACCAAACAAAATAACTCAAAAAAGTTTCTTCCCCAGGAGAAACCTCTCTAAGTGAGTGGTCTGTCCTCCGTAAGGCGCCCTCTCCCTGGGCAGAGCTGGAGTTTGAGAACATCGTCCTGACTGTGCCCTCTGAGGTGGTGCGGGGCCTGGAGCGTCCTGATGAGTTGGCTGCTGTCTGGGACAGGATCATGAGGGCTGTGGCGGACCTGGCTGCGATCCCAGAGAAGTTTACAAGGAAGGAGCGCATTGTCTGTGATGTGCAGATCTCTGCAGGTAAAATGTTCTATGAATTATCATTTTTGTACACCATGCAAACTGTGCACAGGATCTTTGGTTCATGACCAGACGTTCATTTTTCAGTGAACTCTGAACTGAACGCAACACTTTTGTAAATCAAGAACTTGAACGTGAATTTGTTCAAATTATGTGTGATGAACGACGTATGTCACTGTTGGAGTTCAGTTAAACGTCGGAATTTGACGAGTGACGATCTGCTCGCACTTCACCTCGCGAAACCACAGCCGCGTGTCAACGCGAAGGCGACTCCACCGGCAGCTTTAGCGGAACATACGGGCTCTTGTGTCTCTCAATGGGAAAGTCAATCAAACTTGACTGGGCGCGTTTAGCTGCTTGTATTTACCTTCTGTACAGGTTGACCACGGCAAACGCAAGGATTTCAAAAGTAAATTTCAAAGCACTAATGAACAGTGTATGTGGATCTGGGCTCTTTCACATGATACACAACTGCCCAGGGAGCACAATGTGCTGATGGTAAATGCACAAATACAACAACAGATACATGCTCTCTGTGGATTTTGACGGGGATACGCGCCTAAGCTCGTGTAGAGCGTCAAAAAATAGGATGGATCCTATTTTCTGAAATCTACACGCACAGGACGTGCTGCTCCGCGCGCGTATTATTTTACTTGGTACATATGTCAGTAACGCGCGTCACAATGCTTTTTTAACCTGGGTTGAAATGGTGGGTTTTTTCGTTTTTCTTCATACAAATTTGCTAAAATCACCGCGATATCAGCAGCGGTGAAACGCCGGAGGTTCGCCCGCGTAGACCGTGATCCTGAGCGAAAGGACCGACGCACAAGTCCGCGCTCCACCGAACTAAACGCCGCTGACGCACGATCGCACTCGGGGTTCACTCAGGGGCGGTCCTAGATTCCAAGTTCTAGTCCAGGATTAGTCCTGGTTTGGTCCTGGTTTAGTCTTGGTTTAGTTCTGGTTTAGTCCTGGTTCAGTTCTGGTTCAGTAATGGTTTAGACCTGGTTTAGTCCTGGTTCAGTTCTGGTTTAGACCTGGTTCAGTCCTGGTTCAGTCCTGGTTTAGACCTGGTTCAATTTTGGTTCAGTCCTGGTTTAGTCTTGGTTTATTCCTGGTTCAATTCTTTTTTAGTCCTGGTTCAGTCCTGATTTAGACCTGGTTTAGTCTAAAATAAATGCAGCCTTTCATTTACAGATCTCACCTAAATATAAAATGAACTGAACTTTGAACTAGTTAAAAATTAAAATTGTGAACTATGAACGTGAACTATTCATTTTGAACAAGTGTGAACTGAACTTTGAACTAGTTCATGAAAAGTGTGAACTTGCACAACACTGATGACCAGACAGACAAGAATACAAGCACTTAAAGGTCCTATATTACACAAAAAATCTATGTGTTTCTGTCCCTATTGAAATAAACAAGAAATAAACCCCTGTCATTTGCCATAATATTCAGTGTCCCCATTTTCAGGCTGGTTGCATGCAGGCTACCCCATAATGGCACACAATGACGAAGCTGAAACCTTTGTGATGGCAAAAGAACACTGTGATTTGTGGGGTCCAGTACATGAACTGGGACACAATCAGCAGAGAGGATGCTGGGAGTTTCCCCCTCACACCACTGAGGCCACATGCAACCTGTGGTCTGTGTATGTGCACGAGACTGTACTGAAGATCCCCAGAGAGAAGGTAAGGTTACGCAATACACTTTAATGTCTGAAATGAACGAAGATGAAGGTCTGTTTTGTCCTACACAGGCTCACGAGATGTTGAGTTCAGCAAATCGAAAAAATCATATTAAGACTTACATCAAAAACGGCAGAAATCTGAACGACTGGCATGTGTGGGTGGCACTGATAACATACTTACAGGTAAAATGTTTATCCTGTAAAGTTAGTCTTTCAAGGGTACATTGGTAATTCTGGCTTCCTTTGACAGATTAAATTTATAGATTTGCATTTTTTTTTTAATTTAATCTTGCAATGATTCTAGTCAACTTTGTGTTTTGAAGTGGCTATCCTTGATTTTGTTTGATATAATGTATTTTTGCCCCAAATAAGACGGCTGTGTGCTGTCTAAATATAAAGTGACTTTAATTGGCCACAAACCAGTAGGTAAGGCTGGTGCACTGTTAGCATGCTAGTTGCTATCAACATTGGTGTGACAGCAAAACTCCACTCAGGCCTCTAAAAGTTTTAAGACGATATTTTCTGATTTGTGTTCTAATGTTATTTCCTCATCACAAACAGACCTGGAGTGGTGTTTTGTTTCATTCACACATTTAACACACAAACCTGCATATTTAGACTCAAACAGAAAATACTTTATTTCACCTTGTGCTGTCATGTGGTTATACATGAAATGCTCCACTGTGTTTTGAAAATCCATCTTCACTAGAACTGCCCAAGACTAATGCCTTGAAAAGAACTGTTATGTATAGAGCGACAGTGCATGAACCAAGTTTTAAGAAAGTGTTAAAGAAATATATTGGAAATTGTACATAATTATATTTAGTCACTAGCTATGTATTGTAATTTATTGGATATATTATAATTGTAGTATTGTAGTGTAGTGTAGTGTAGTGTAGTGTACTCTGGAACAGGACTGTATGAACTTATGTGTGAACTTTTTTGTTATTATAATAGAACATTTTATTGTAAATTATGCCAACTTGGACCCCAGGAAGAATAGTCTTTACCCCAGTAAAGACTAATAGGGATCCAATAAATAAATAAATCATTTAGATCATTTCAGAACTGGAAGTGCCAGTCTCTTCTGGATTAAAGGTAAAAGGAGCTGTTAACTTGAAAACTACCACTACACTGACATTACAAGGTGGAACAAAGCATTTTGAAATGTAGACAGGTTTACAAAACAAAAAACATGTGAATGAAACAAAACACAACTCCAGGTATGTTTTTGATGAAGTAAGAACATTCTAACATGGCTAAAACTTCACATGACTCAATTTTGAATAGGACCTTTAAGATGATAAAATCAGGTACAAGTTGTCTTATGTTTTGCAGCTCCAGGAGAAGTTTGGCTGGGCTCCCTTTAAAAGTGTGTTTAGAGCCTATCACACAATCAACAATGTCCCCAGTGACAACAAAGGCAAGATGAACCTGTACTGTGTGACCTTCTCTGAGACCGTGGGGATGAATCTGAGTGGGTTTTTCAAGGCCTGGGGTTGGCCAATAGTGGGCGCCACTGAGACAAAACTCTCCAACCTGCCAGCCTGGACCGACCACCCCATGGCCGAATATAACTAAAATGCATGCTTCAGTTCCCTCGTGAGTTTAACAGACCAAGTGTTTGTAGTTTAAATGGAAGTAACAATTTGCAGAGTAATTGAAATAAATGCAATATCACTGTTTATGGTTTTTTTTCTCATAGTTAACCAGGGTGCTGTCAGTGTGGGATCTAATTTGCCTTAATTATCCACATATATATTTCAAATGTATTTAGAATGAATCAAGAATGTAATAAAAGAGAGTGCAATTAAACATAAACGCAGTGTCCTTGCTTCATTGAAATATCACATTCTCCAAAGCTCAAAATACTCTGTATGACCTTGTGATGTCATGAAGCAGTAGTTTTCAAGTAAACCAATACATTTAAGTTCAGTAGAGTTTGGTAATTCCAGGGACCTGCATGAAGTTGGCCTTGCATCAACCGCAATTGTTTGTGCTGTTTTGTGCTGCAAAATGTTTTGTTTGTGCTGTTTTAGTTTTGGGGATATTAATGATTCTTTTGTAGGGTATATTAGGGTCAGCCAGCCACCAGGAAGCTTAAAAATGCTTCAAAACTGCCCAAAATTGTGTCAATCATTTGTGCTTTGTTTGTACTGTAAAAAGTTTCATTTGTGCGATATGATTCTTAAAATATTAGCAGTTTTATTTTTGGCCAGTGACGTCATCCAGCTCCTCAAAATGTCAAATAGCCTCAAAACAGGCAGAACATTATACAAAAGGTTTAAGCAGAAATTACATCATGTAATTTCCGCAAAAAAAGATAATACATTTTAGAAATATATTAGCACAACTGAAAATTGCCACAGCAAAAAACAGCACAAACTAAGCACAAACAATTGACACCATTTAGAGCCTAGAAAGCCCTCTCTGTTAGCGGATATCCAAAATGGGCCTTCAACAAAACCAAGAGAACTGAAAAACAGAACAACAGAGAATCAGAACCCTGAAGAAAAGGGGTAACTATTCCTTACATGGCTGGCTGGTGTTTCTGAAAAACTACAGAGGATCTTCAGACAACATGAGATCCTGGTCTATTTCAAACCTACAAACACTCTAAAACAGAGCCTGGTCCACCCAAAGGACAAAACACCAAGCCACAAACAAAGCAATCGGGTCTACTCCATTCAGTGCAGTGAAGACTGCAGTGAACGCTACATTGGAGAAACTAAAACAGCTACTTCACAAGAAGATGTACCAACACAGACGAGAGAGCAGCAGTGGACCTCAGTCTGCTGTACATCTCCACTTAAAAGCCACGGGCCACTCATTTGAGGACAGTGAGGTACAGATTTTAGCCAGAGAAAAGAATTGGTTTGAGAGGGGAGTGAAAGAAGCAATTTTTGTTAAGAAAGAGAATCCTTCTTTAAAAAGAAATGGAGGACTCAGACACCATCTATCTCCTCTTTACAACTCCATCCTCAAACGTAAATCAAAAGAGAACAACAGGTGTAGCCAGATCAGATCCAGAGGTGTGGAAGCTCCATTATGGCCAGGAATTATTATGTTAATGAGACCCCACACCCTGTACAGGTCAATAGGCCGAACTGACAAACAGAAACTGTAAACAAGTAGGTGTGTTAGTTTCAGTTAGTTAGCTCCTCCCTGCAGATATAAGGAAGTGTCCACCAGCGTCTGACCAAAACTGAAGAAGGAGCCTGGATGAGCTGCTAAACGTCTTCAACCAAACTAACTTTGGTCTGTTAATAGTTATTTATTTTAATATTGATTGTTCTCTCACTTTGGATTGCAACACTGAAATGTTCCCATTGTGGGGCAAAAAAAGATGATAGTTCATAAAGACTCACCTGATTTATAATATGGAGCAGACACAGCTTTATGAACTATGACCTCTGCTCCTGTCACCTGAGTTCTAGGAGGAGCTATCAGGTAAATGAGCCCGCCCCAAAGGTTGTGCACCAGCATCTTCTCAGAAGTGACTGGGAATCTCTCAAAGACACATGGGGCCCTCTTTAAGTTCTTGTGTCTTTGTCTGTGTCTGAGGAAGTCTGTATGGCAACTGATCTGCACCTAGGAATATCAAAACAACAGAACTAAATACTAATAAATACAAAACAATAAAAAATAATAAAATAATAACACAATAATCCACAATACAACATAATCATGAAAAAAATATAAAAAATAACAATTCTTTGCATGAACTCCCTCCTGCTGTTAGTCTCTACCTGCCATCTTCCCTGTGCCACAAATATCAGTTGGTACGGATATATAAGTCTTCATCCCAGGAGAAAGATACAGGGCTGGTACTGAGCCACTCCGCACCACCTACCAAAATGATGAGCTTTTTGTTTTGATTAATTTGAATTTGTTCGACTGTGCAGGAGCAGCGCCAAATAGGAACGTCTTCTGTGTAGAACTCCTGTGATTGAGTCCCAATTGAGTGGCCTCGGAGGAGCTCGGAGTAGAGACCGCTGCTCCTCCACGTCGGAGAGGAGCCTTGAGGTGGGCTCGGGCATCTGTTCCGGATGCCTCCTGGACGCCTCCTTCGGGAGGTGTTCCGGGCATGTCCCACCGGAAGGAGGCCCCGGGGGGAGGACACTTTGGAGGGACTATGTCTCTCGGCTGGCCTGGGAATGCCTCGGGGTCCCCCGGAGGAGCTGGATGTCTGGGTGAAGGAAGTCTGGGAGTCCCTGCTTAGACTACTGCCCCCGCGACCCGGCGGCCCGGATAAATGGATGGATGATGATTTTAAGGTGAATTATGTAACTTTTCTGTTGGAAGGTCAGCCATCTGCTTGTCTACATGGAGATGTTATGGATGTTATATTTTGCCTGGGATATTTATTTCAGCATGTTAATCTTGTTTATCTCCATGGAGACAAGAAGGCCACAATTTACAGATCAGATCTACTCACTGCCCACATTTAGCACGTAAGAATGTTTTTTTTTTTTTTAAATATATAACATGACAAGACAGGTGAAAAGTTAACTTGCACCTAAAATCTTCAACACAAGTCTATAAATATGATAGAAAAAAGAAAACTTGTGTTCAGACATTCTCATATTTGACATATTATTGTTAGAAACAAATATTTTTTTAAATTTAAACATCTGATGCCACATTCCTCTTTGCTGTTGAAATAGGTTGCTGGTGGTTTCGACATCGATGGCTCATCATGCACATCATCACCACTAAGTCTGGAAAAGTGTTTCCCACAGCACCAGACGAAAACTGGAGGTGAGTATTGACAGATGATGTTGAAACGTACGTACGTTACGCAGGAGATTATGGTTCCATCAGTGCATGAATCTGAATGAATTGTGTTTTGAGTTCAATTTCCTTATAGTTAAATTGTAAAAGACCAAATTGCCTTTAAAGGTGCTATAATACATAAAAAATTGTGTTGTTTTCATTCAGACATTTGTTAGACCTTATTAACATAAATAAATTGTGTTTTGTTTCATTCAGACATCTTGAGTAACCCTTTATTATTAGTATCTATATCTCCAAAACAGCTGCCTTTTACTTTTAGTTCAATAGACATTGGTAATTCCAGGGCTGAAATGGTCCAAATGTCCATATATGACTACAGAGAAATACTCCATAAACCATAATACTGAAAATACTGAAAATATCACTGACAGAATAACAGTAAACCATTTTAAAATAGACAGTATCATTAAAAGGACTGAGCTGGAACAAATGAACAGCAGAATGAACCAATAATTAGCCATAGAAGTTATTTATTCAATCCTTATTGTATCACAGCAGATTATATTGTTCCAGCTTTCATATATTGAACGATAAGTTGATATAGAAATGATTGTGACAGGCCTTTTGACTCGTAGTGCATGGAACCAGTTGACATGGATAAATGCTTACCGATATGTTACAGGCAAATAAGGAAATCAAGCGTTCTGTAGAATGCCGAGGTAGAATATGCAAATTCTGTGGCGTGCACTCTGATAACCAACAGAAACGAGATAAATAAGCAAGAGGCAAATGCAAACTTATGTAATTAAAACATAACAGTGTATTGTACAAGAAATTATTGAAATGCTTGAAGTGGTACAGTGAGTGTGTGCTTACAGTAGGCCAAATGTGTCTTGTGAAAGATCAACACGTACCACAAAGAACATAAAATATGCAAGATTAAGAATATGAAGTCGAAGTTTTTTCCACAGTGCAAATAACAACCCCACAGCCACACTCCAAGACAGTTAGAGCTGAGTCACTTTACACCTGCAACTGCTCATCTACATGGTGCCTCCATCTGTTACTCACTAGAATTCTAAAGTCCTTACTCAACCGTTTGCTGTCACCACTTGCTTGCATAGTCATGTTAACTTTAATCTGGAACATTCTCATGAGCTTTGAAAACTACGTTCATCAAGACTGCTCTTCTTTCGGAGCACTGAGCAGTTCTCAGTCCATCTCAAATCTGCCCCTTTTTCTTATTCTGTAAAGTATTTTGAATTACGTTGTGTACCTTGTGCTATACAGATAAACTTGCCTTGCCTATTACTGTATGTGTCAGAAGTGGTTGTTAGAAAGACTGGAAAGAACCAATGTTTTAGTTCCACATTTCCATGTGTGCCTAGTTAACTTATCACTCTGTTTTGCAGCTGCTTTTTTGTCGTGCATTATTGATCTGAAAGCCACACATCACACACTCATTGTGCCTTTTTCTTCTGCTACTATTAAAGAACATTCTCAGTTCATCCAGTCTCCTGAGTCTCTGACCGGAATCAACTGTCTGTACTGGCCCCTCCAATCAGCATTGTTCTTATTAAGCTAATGTAGACATCACAAGTGGTTAAAGGAAAAAGCAGAGGCCTGTATGGTCCAGTCAAAGAAACACTTCCGAAAAGTTTAACATTTTGTTTTGTACAGGGTTTGCATATTAGACAGGTAGCTGTTATGCTAAGCCTGACTACTGTAGATGACATTTTAAAACAAACTAGATAGGATATCTTGGTGTTTTTATTGTACTTTTCCTATGTATCGTGCTCCTATCTGTATATCTGTGTTTTTGTCGACTTCTAGGTGAAGCACTTTGGTCAACTGAAGTTGTTTTAAATGAGCTATATTAATAAAATTTAACTGAAGTAAATAAAATGATCAGTTTTCTCTGTGTTTTCAGGTTTTTGTAGCGAGTGGTCCTGGCATATACAGGAAGCCAGTGGTGGGAATGTGGACCCATTTGTGTGAGAAGGTTGTTTTAACAGCTTATTCTATTATTTTGACTGACAGCACACAGGTTTAACATACTAGTGGTGTGTCTGTTCACAG